AAAAAGCTGTTAGGGAAATTAAATGTGTTGAGAACCTGAAGTGCACGCATACAGTAAAAGTTGTTGGTATTGTTACTGGAATTTTAGTCCTGCACTTCAGCGGTAACCACCAGACGTGCATGGTATGGGTACATCTCTCTTAGTGTGACAGTGACGCTGTTGCTAAGTCCCCAGCCCTGCGCCGGCATACTGCTACAGGTGGGCATTAGGAACAGGGCGTCCCAGTTTGCCAACAAAGGGGTCATCATCAGTCACTGCCTGCCCGGCTAGATCCCTGGCGCCAAGAGAGGAGATCTTCTCTCCTTTTATCCCCCCCTCCCACCATTCTGCACGTGCACACAGGAATTCACCAGGGCGCTTGATCAACATCCCACTTCCCATTTGGGGCAGTAAACAGATATAGGCAAAATCATTCCTATCTGGGTGCTCATGCCTTCAGAGTCCACACTGGGCATGCACAATCGTGTAATCAGATTCCTGACCTGGTGAGAAGTACGCAAGCACAGAAAAGCCACACGTTCAAACAAAGGAGCTGGCTACAATGACAATGACAGATATGCATGGCCAGATCCCACCGTAAAAGCAACCCCTAGCCCCACTCCAGCCCAGTTGTTCTCTAACAGCTGCCCACTCATGTGCTTTCTGGGGTGGAGTGTAGTTGTTTTCTGTTAAAAATTTCATTTTTCTATTAAAAACCTTCTCTTTTCTTACTTTACATGTGTGTGTGTCTTTGATTCATGTCTCAGGGCAGGCTCTTTGATCTTAGAGCTCTGTCCCTACAGAACAGTATTTCACATGGTGCAGCTCAGCTTCCCACCTGGTAACAGGACCTGTGTTTTCCAGTAGGGTCTTAATCCCGCGATTTCGCCCTCGTGAGATTTGGATGACCAGACGGGGCTGCCTTGATGTAGTGCTCGCTAATGTAGAGACTTGTTTTGAATAAATCTGTTCTGATGCTGTTGAACTGCACGTCACTGCTCCCAGTAAACCATTGGGGCTTCAGTGCTTACTGCTGGAGTGTCCTTTGTAAAGTTTCCACTTGGGGGTAGTGTTTCACGGAAAAGTGAACAGTTGTTTCTTACACATCTGCCCAAATGATTTTGAACTTTCCTGTGCTTATTTAAAAAGTAGCTAAAGACTGTTAGTTGTATGTCTTAAAATCTTGATTTTTTTTTCTGAGACCAATTTTTTGCTATAGGGTACGTGCCCTCTCCAAAGAGACAGACAGAGACAGAGAGCAAGAAATCACTTCCCTGGGGAGATGACCATGCTGTAATCCCTTCTCCATTCTCCTCTCAGGATTTTGGGCATGCACGCACATGTGGCCGGCTTGAGTTTTAAGCCACCAGGTCTGAGACTTGAACTGCCGTCACCTATGTAGAAGTCCAGCGATGTATAACCACTATGCTACCTGCTGATCTTCAAATCTTGATATTTTAAAAATGGTTGTTTTTTGTCATTTGAACAGTTGTGTGGAAATGGACAACCAATAGAAATTCAGTCTTTTGAGAGTCTTAACACTTTTTTCTAACTCCTAATGAAAGACTTCATTATTTTGTCTTTGTAGCGTTTTTGTAGTTAGAGTAAGACCAAAAAAAAAAGTTAAGTGAAAACATAAAACATATTTGCCCTGGTTGATTTCCAGTGTGGCTAGCCACTGGCCTTTTGTCTGTACCGTCTCTTTTTAAAATACTTGCTAGAGGTCAGCGAGCAAGCTCCTCCGTGGGGGTGGCCTCACTGCAGTCCCTTCTCCGTTTCTTCCCGTGGGGTTTGGGCATGCACACACACACCCAGTGTATTTTCAAGGCCCGAGGTCTGAGACTCTAGCTGCACTGTCGGCCATGTGGGATCCAGCTGCCTTAACCACCATGCTGCTGGCTGGCTGTGTACCCGCTCCCCTCCCTAGCCATCTAACTCCACCTCCAACCCTAACCTCAGTGCAAAAAAAGAGCTGTCAGTAAGAAGAAAAAAAAAGCTTTTTATTTCAATGTGGTAATCATCGATATTAACACTTCAGATTTGGTGTACACCACCACACAGTTTATTAATTAGTATTTTTTAAAATTGTTACATTCCTCAACTCAAAACCTATGCATTTACTCTACAAAGACAGTCATTTCACAGTGTAAATTCTTTGTCTGGGTTTATAGTCTGTTTTCTCCTAGTTATTCGGCATTGATCTGTACAGCTTTAATTCATTTATTTTTTATTGCCAGAGGGCGTGTGCTCTCCTCGCAGAAAGGGAGATAATGACAGAGTGAGGAAGCACCTGCCCCTGAGGTTGTGGTCCAGTTGCAGCAGTTTCCCCTTTTCCTGTGTCTCCATCCCGTCGGGATTCGGGGTACGCATGTACATGTAGCTGGTATGTTTGTTAAGCTGCCAGGGCTGAGGTTCCAAACCACGGTCAGCCACGTGGGACTGAGCTCCCCGAGATCAGGGTTTAACCAGCGCATACCTCAAGGCCAGTTCTGTATTTCTTTTCATTAGTATTACACGTTATTTCCTCAATTTTGGCTTCAATTATGACATAAATTAACTTTGTTACTTGTCATCATTTACTGGTGTTTGCCTTGTCATATACTTACTTCATGCTCAAATTCACACATGACTGTGGTCAGTACATACTTAACTTTTTTTTCTCTTTGGAGAGGTTTTTGCTATAGGGTGCGTGAGCTTGACAGAAAGTGAGAAAGCGCCCCCAAGGGGGATGGCCACACTGTAATCCCTTCTCCATTCTCCTCTCAGGATCTTGGGCACGCACATGTGCCCAGTGTGAGTTTAAGCCGCTGGGTCTGGGACTCAAACCGTGGTTGACTATATGGGAGTCCAGCGACATAGTCATTACGCTAACTGCTGGTCCCCAAAAAGAATTATTTAATTTTATTTATTGTTGTTATTATTTTCACATTTGCTATAGAGCACACGAGTTCAGCAGATAGAGACAGAGAGAGAGAAAGAAAGAGAAAGCAAGCCACAAGGTCTGGGACTTGTACCGTGGCTGGCCATGTGGGAGTCCAGAACCCCACCCACCATGCCACCAGCTGCCCCCATATTTAACTTTCAGTGGATCGTATATAAACTCTGAGAGCACGCACCGTTCTTTTATATTTGTGGGTCCCTCCCTCTGTAGAGTTCCTTGCAACCATTTAGTGCTGAGTTAGTCTTTGTAATTATGTAATTGAACCCACGGAGCTGTTACACGATGCAGCTAGTCCTTACACCTGTGAAGACGGAGTCGTGGCCTCACAGAAGCAGAGTAGAATAGTGATTACTGCGGGCTGGAGGGCAGCGGGGAGGGAGGACTGAGAGAGGTCAAGGGCAGTGAACGCCATTGTTCTCAGGTACAGTGGGGTAACTAATCAGCTGTCGTTCACTGAGTATTTCCAGGTAGATGAAAGGATTTCCAGTGTTCCCACCACGAAGTCATGATAAATATTTGAGATGATAGTCACAGTGTAAATTAGTGACTAAACACACACTAGTTCTCTGTGTACTTTGTGACCTCCTTCAAGAAATGATTTTTATTTCTTTCTTTATAGATAGTTGGTGAATATTTACAAGTATGCTTCTCTAATAATTTAAGATCATACTTGCTTTGTATTATCATCCCTGTAAACAAAGCTTTCTTGAGGTAGCAATGTTTGTTTTGTTTTAAAACTTTATTTTTTAGTTAAAAAATTTCATTTTGTTAAGAACACCTAGGAGGATCCTCTTAAATTTACACGTTGTACCAAACAGTGTCTTTGTGGGCACCATGTGTAGCAGGTGTCTTAGCTGACTCATCCTGCATCATTGCAATTCCTATTCAGCGGTTAGCAACTTGTCATGCCCTGTCTCTGCTCTGTCCCAGGCCACCACCGTGTTATTCTCTGATTTTATGAGTTTCACATACCTCATATCAGTGCAGTCGTGAACTATTCCACTTCGCATAGTGTCTTTCTTGAAGGTCCATCTATCCATCAGATGTTGCAGGATTTTCTCTTTTTAATGCTGATAAGACGCCGTTGCATGCACGTGCCATGTCGTCTTCATTCCACATCAGTGATGGACCCGTAGGCTGTCTCCCTGGCTCGGTCCCTGTGGCTCGTACACCTGTGAGTGCACATTGGAGTGTGAATACCTCTTAGATACTGGAACTGAACTGTGATTTTTTTTTTTTTCTGGTTTCAGTTCTTTTGGTTAAATACCCAGAAGTGGGATTGCTGGATAATATGATAGTTGGTGGGTTTTTGTTGTTTATATTTGCCAGAGGGCATGTGCATTTTGCCAGAGAGAGGGAGAAAGCGTCCCCTCAGTGGGGCACGGCCATGCCACAGTCCTTTCTCCTTCCCTTTTTCATCCTGTCACATTTTGGGCATGCACACACATGCACCTGGCATGTTTTTTAAGCCACGGAGTCGAATTTGAGCTGCAGTTGACCACGTGGGTTCAGGCTCCTTTAACCAGAAGGCTGTGGAGTTGGCCCTCCTGTGTATTTAATCTTAGTTTGCACATTTTTTAAAAAGTAGGTTAAGGGACCACAGGTGGTGTAATGGTTACTTCTTTGGATTCCTAGTCAGTCAGCTGCAGTTCGAGTCCTGGACCTGGTGGCTTGAGACTCATGCTGGGTGTGTGTTCATGCATGCCCAAGATCCTGAGAGGAAAATGAAGGAGAGGGGATTGTGGTGTGGCCATTCCCGGGGTGGGGGTGGGGGTGGGGAGGGAGGAATTTCTCAAATCTCTCTTAAAAAAAAAAAAAGTTAAATTATGTTATTTTTCAAAAGAAGAAAAGCATTGCAAAATTTTTGTAAAAATGTTATAATATGAACCTATATTTAAGTTATTCTGCTGTTTCTTTGTAGCTATATTCAAAAGAAAGAGACATGTTTTGAAAATATATACCTTATAATGTGTTTAGTAAGATGGAGGTAGACAAGAGAACTAGTAATTCAGATTTTTTTTTATGACCCATATTGGAAGGCCCCGGTATTAATTGTTGTCTGCCTGTTTTTGCATTGCAGTGAATGATTTAGGAGGAGATTTTAAAGGCGTTGGAAGAGGCTCTGTAGCTGCCGATAAAGTTGTGGAAGAAATAAGAAGGAGAGGAGGCAAAGCTGTGGCCAACTACGGTATGGTACTGGGAGGGCTCTGCTGGGTTCTTTTATTGTCCCCTCAGCTAGTGCTGCCGCCCACGTTGGTCACCTAGCGAACACTCCGCATTCTAGTATTGTTATGAGATTGGGCTTTATCTACATTGGGCAGATGTCTTTGGCTGCCTGTTTCACATAATACGTGAGCATTTTCAAGTTGTGATATAGCTTATGTCATGTTTCTCTTTTTTCTCTTGTTTATTTGATATTTTTATTAATGAGCATACATAATCTCATTAATAAAATCATAATATGTTTTGTTCTTCAAAGACGTATTTTACTTAAATATTTCTACATGTAATTGATCGAAATAACATTCTTCTTTTAAACATAGTGCCAAAAGATTCTTGGAGAGAATCTTAGTGTGTGAGGTAGACCGGCCTCCGTGTTCCATTCCGCACAGTATTTACCACTAGATATGACTTTCTTTTCTTCATAAAACCCAAGAGTCACAGTTTAATAAAACCATGCTAAAAAGCAGCCAGTACAACTTTTATATTTGATATATTGATTTTAATAGTATGTGTAAGGAACCCACTAGAATAGATTTACTTTATTTTTTAATTTAATTTAACTTCTTTAGTTTTTCACCGTAGGGTGCATGTGCTTGCTGAAGAGACGGGAGTGGTAGGAGGAGTGAGAAATCACTGCCCCTGGGGGAGTGGCCACACTGCAGTGCCTTCTCCTTCAATCACTTCTCTGGATTTTGGGCATGCACACACATATACTCAGTGTGATTTTCAAGCTGCTGGGTCTGGGACTCAAACCACAGTCAACCATGTGGGAGTTCAGCGCCTTAACCACCATGCCACTTGCTGGCCCTGAATAGATTTAAAAAAAAATTATGTTTAATCATCGTGTGTCTTTACTGCATGCGATGCCGGTTCTTAAAACATAAATGTGTTGCGTGTCAAGCAAGTCAGAGCTATTACCGTACATGGTTAAGTCCCTTGGTGTGTCTGTTGAACTTTTTTCTTTTTCCCTCTGAGCCATTTCCAAACTAGATTGTTTTCATGGGCCAGGGTAAAATTATATCGACTTCATGTTGAAACTTTGGGGTTAGGAAATAGGGCACAGCTTGTTTTGAGTATTTGAGAGAAGAATGAGTCAGCCATTTTAGAATTCCTTTTCCACAGTGGAGTTCTAGCAAAGTGTTTTCAACCTTTTTTTTAAACTCTATAGTTTTAAAAGACATTTTTATAAAGTAAAACTTCTAGACTCTGCCTTTTCATAGTTCTGATATATATGACCCGTGTCAGTCGAGGTCACTTGGGAAAATGGAAGTTTTAGGAGGTTTTACAAGTGTAAAGGGTTTTTCTGTTTGTTTGTCTTTTTAAAGGAGTTTTTTTTTTGGGGGGGGGGGGTAGAGAGATTTTTACTGTAGGGTGTGTGCACTCGCCAGAGAGACAAAAAGCGAGAAATCACCCCCCCCCCCGGGGGGGGGATGACCATGCCACAATCTCTTCTCCACTCTCCTCTTGGGATCTTGGTCATGCACGCACATACCCCTGGCACAAATTTTAAGCCGCCAGATCTGGGACTTGAACTGCGGGAGACTCTGTAGGAGTCCAGAGACGTAACCATTATGCTATCTGTTGGTCCATTAAGGGAGATTTTTTGCTACAGAGCACGTCCACTCACCAGAGAGACAGAGAGAGAGAAAGTGAGAAATCAGCCCTCTTCCCAGAGGATGGCCGGCCACAGTCCCCTCTCCTCTGTTCTTCTCTTGGGATTTTGGGCACACATGCACATACGGCTGGGGAAATTTTAGCAACACTGGGTCCAGGATTAGCTGGGTCTGGGGGCTGGTGAATTTTAAGCCTCTGGATCTGGGACTCAAACTGAGGTCTGCTACATGGGAGTCCAGTGCCTTAACCACTACGCCACCTTCTGGCCCCTTATGAAGGGTTTTAATGTTGGAGATTAGAAGTTCACAGAACCACGGGGAGAACTGGGCGAGTGAAGGCCTCAGGAGCTGTGGGTGCTGGTCCATGTCTAGCAGGTGGTTCTATAGCTCGTCCCGTTGTGCCGTCAGCCCCACACCTGTGGCTGCTCACAGGCTTGCCAGCGTTCGCTGCCTTCTCCTGCTTCTCTGTCCTCGAGGCAGTTTTTCTTACTGGCAGATGTAACTCAGGCCTACATGGGTCCCAGGAAAGGGCCTGACCATCCCACTGCTCTTCCCTTGCAGGTGACGAGACCACAGAGTAGACGGGGCGGCGTTGTGTTGACAGCAGGCTGTCTGACATCGACCGCTAGTGGAAAATAACCAGGCCATAGTTTTTGTTGAGCTGCACCTTTTGTAGTTAGTATCGCAAAAGCAGATTCGCTTTCCCTGTATAGTTACTTTCCATCGATCTTGCTTCTTCAAGTTTCATGCACCTCCCTCCTTCCCAAATTCTCCGTTGCATCCTTCAGGAGAAGTCTTTTGTAGCTGTTGAGAATTAAACATAAATTCAATAAAACTACCCAGTCGGCCAGACACATTTCGCATGCTCAGTAGCCGTGGGGTTGGCGGCTGCCATATCTGTCATTGAGTTGAATAGGACATTAGCATCTTCATAGGAAGTGGTATTGGGCAGCGCTGTTTAGAGGGTTATTTGTCAAATACACGCACACACACACGCACACACACATACATACACATGTATTATTTCCCTCTCCCTCTCCCCTTGTTTTGTAGGCCAAAGAATTATCAAGGGATGAACTTTCTTTTGTAACATTAGACCATTTGTATTTTGATTCGTTAGATGCCTACAGTATATAAATGTATTTTATTTTTTGGAAATGAGTTATTTTGGGTGACTAATATCTGCCACGTGCTCCGATACACGAAACTTAGCCGTTATCTGTGTGGGCGATGGCTGACGCTGTGCTAACCTCTGTTCCTCAGATTCAGTGGAAGCGGGAGAGAAGATCGTGAAGACAGCACTGGACGCTTTTGGAAGAATAGGTGACGTTTCTTTTGTGTTTATGGTCTTCAGACAGCAGCTAATTCTATCTGTGTGTATATGTGTATGCGCATGTTCCTTTTTTAAAATTCCCCAGAAGGTGTGCACGCTCACTGGAGAGAGGGAGAGAAGCGAGAAAGCACCCTCCGTGGGTACGTGGGGAGTGATCACGCTGCAGCCCCTCGCCTCCGTTTCTTCCTCCTTTCGGTATTTGGGAATGCACTCACTTGCTGCTGTGTTCCCGAGCTGCTGCGTGGGAATCAGGACCAGGCTGTGGGCCACGTGGGATCCAGAATGCCTTTGAATTTGCTTTTGTTTATTAAGTAAATCTCTCATTTTTGATGATCACATTTTTATGTTTCATAAGTTAGTTATTTTGTATACCTCATTCCATGCAAGGCTTGAGGGGAAAATGATATGGCTATGTGTGAAGTTTTTTTCACCTTAAGTAGTTTAAAACATTTGTAAGTATTTGCTCAAGGCCCTTCTTATAATAATTCTGTTAAACTTCAACTATGTTTGTAAGATTAAAAAAAAAAATCAGTATTTTGACAGTAGAGGTCCCAATGGATTTTTTTGGGTAAGTAAAATGATTTGAATTAAAATGATCCAATATCTTGTAAATTAGTTAAAATGAATCATTATATCATAGACATTTTCATTTTTAAAAAGCGTTTCAAATCTATAGTTTAATCCATTTTTTTCTCAATAATCTTCCTGGTTTGGCCTCACACACCCTTAATAGAATGCTGTCAAATTACTAAAGGGAAGCTTCACTGCAGATAAGCCGACATATTTACCATCTGAAAAGTGATAACATTTTATAAATTGAATGTGCCTCCCCCTTTTTGTTTTTTCTAGCATATTCTTTTTTCTAACTATGTGAGGTTGAACTTAGAAGACCTTTGTTTACATATCATCTGACAGAAGGATAGAGACCACAAAGGTGTGAAGTCTTAGTGTGAAAATAGCCTGAGATGGTGGTCCAGCGTTAAAAATAATTACTTTTTTTGTCTGGTGAGAATGCAGTGTTGTTATCAGGATAGGGCATTAGTTACAAACTCTAATGGTTTTATTTATTTATTTTTGGGCTTTTGACTTTTTTTTTTTTTTTTTTTTGCTATAGGGCATGCGCGCTCACCAGACAGAGACAGAGAGACAGAAAGCGAGAAATCACCTCCCAGGGGGGATGGCCATGCCGCACTCCCTTCTCCTCCATTCTCCTCTCGGGATCTTGGGCACGCACGCACACGCGCCTGGCGTGAGTTTAAGCCACCGGGTCCAGGACGCGAACTGCAGTCGACTATGTGTGAGTCTAGCAACATAGCCATTACGCTAACTGCTGGTCCCTTGGCTTTTGACTTTTAAGTGACAAAAATCTTTTGAACTTAAACTTTCCTTGAGCATTTTTTTTAAAAGAATTATTTTATTTAATTTTATTTATTTATTTTAATTTGACGAGAGAGAGAGAGAGAGAGAGAGAGAGAGAGAGACTGCTGGCCCCATGAGCGCTTTAAGGTTAAGTGAAGGACGGCTCTGGATTTGAATCCTCAGAACCCAGGAGTTATAAGACACCTATTCTGTAAATAAGTGGAGGGAATCTTGGTAGCAGGTGGAGGAAGGAAAATGTAGATAATGCGAGTTTGAGATAAAGGTGCTGTTACCATGTGATACTTGGGCTTTTGTTAATCAAGTTTTGTTCGTTTGTTTGTTCTTGCTAGAAGTATACATTTTCCTTTTTTTAATTGCAAAGGGTGCATGCATTTGTCAGAGTCAGAGGGACAAAGGCCCCGGTGAGCACAGTCACACGTCCTTTTAGAATTTGGGGCACGTTTTAGGCACACGCACACGTGAGCCGGGCGTTTCTAAGCCGCTGGGTGATGGACGTGAAGCTGTCCGTGTGGGACGTGGCTGTCGTGCGTGGCCCGACCACTGTGCTGTGCGGCTAACCCTAAACTTCTGAGAGGGAGAAAGCCAATTTTGAGAGAAGTTTGAGTTGTGAATCTAAACACAAGTGTTTCCTTTCATATTTATGACTCGAATCTTTTTTATATTGCAGACATTGTGGTCAACAATGCAGGGTGAGCATTTTCCATTTTCCATAAGTAACGTGATGCAGTTTTTTTGTAAGTCTGTCTCTGGAGAGAGCAAGAGCGGTAACATCTCCCTCCCTCCCCGCCCCTTACCCTGTGTTTCAGAATTCTGAGGGACCGTTCCTTTTCTAGAATAAGTGATGAAGACTGGGGTAAGCTGTTTTTAATATATGTCTCTTGTGGAATATACCTGTTCATTTAGCCTTTCTAAATATTTGACAAAATTATATGTTTAAGGGGAAAATCTGCCTCCTCCTCCTGCTTTTGCAGCTGCTAATGTAAGTGAGGAATAAGTTCTAGACCGGAAACAGTGAGGAGCTGGAAGTAGCCTGTCTTCTTTTTCAAGATTTGATCAATTTAAAAAATGTTAGATCATTTGGGGTGTATTATGTAGGAGGATGTTTCTTTCCATTTCTTTTCCCCTTTTTCTTGCCGAGGGGATGTCAGCGTTGTCTAGCAGCAGTAACTCTTTCTAACAGCCTTTAACATGTCTCGTGATTATTTTTTCAGAAGCAGAGGCAGGATATGGAAGGGAGTCTAGGGCGCCAGGTCTGAGAACCTCAGGCAGGACAAAGCCTCGATGTAATTTCGGAGCTTCTAATAAAGAGGGGAGATTTCCAGTTTCCTCCATTATATTGGAAAGACTGAGTTTTGATAATGATTGGAATCAAAGTTACAAAATGTTTTTCTTCTGTCGTTCTTTGTCCTAACTGCCATCGGCCATCAGCGCTAAAATAAAACAGCAAGCCCACGAGCCTGTGGTGGTGGCCACAGAGCAGCACCAGCCGCTGAGGTGACACCACCTGGCCGTGGCTTAGGGGCGTGCTTCTGGGGAATACGCTCATAGTTCTTACGAAAGGAAGTATCTGTGATTTTTAGAATTAAGCAAAAAAACCCCAAAGCTTTTGTTTTATCTTCCCTCCTTACAACTTCGCTTAGAAACTGGAAAATAAAAGATTTGCTGGCAAAAGAGGTGTGAGTCAGTGCTTTTCTCTGAATGCAATGGGACTGGGAGGTTCCCTTCTCTGACGCTTTCTGAGCCCCCCACTCCTGACTGTCCTCTCTGTCTGTTCTTATTACTTCTACATTCTTCTTCTGATATACACATAAAAACATTTTTGAAGCCCCAGACTGAAACAAAGATAATAGGAAAAGTTAAAAAAAAAAAAAAAAGAAAAACAACTTGACAATTAAAAGAATAGATTTAAATGTAGAATCGTCTATCTGAACAACAGTCCTGTCTGGTCATTAGATTGGAGTCTCTGAAAACAGGTTTTTTTTTCACTTTTTTTTTTTTTTAAGAGAGATTTTTGCTATAGGGCATATGTACTTGCCAGAGAGACAGAGAGACAGAAAGTGAGAAATCACCTCCGGGGGGATGGCCACAGTGTAGTCCCTTCTCCTCCATTCTCTGGGGATCTTGGGCACACACGCACACGCACGTAGTGTGAGTTTTAAGCTCCTGGATATGAACTATATGGGAGCCCGGCAACATAACTATTACACCACCTGCTGGTCCTGAAAACAGATCTTTTCTCTCTTTCACTCACTTGGTAAAAATAGGAATATAGCAAATATTTGGTAACCTGTATGGATTATGATTATGCTTTAATAACGCTAGTGTTGAATGCCAATGATAAATATAAAATCTTTGATATTTTGTTAGCAGATTTAAAAAATAAAGCAGGTGTGAAGATGGTATTGTATTCTCTACAGGGATTACAGCCGTTTTATAGATTAGAGGGAAAGCTGTTTGAAGTCTGGGTGTGAACTATTGATTGGTGGCATAACTGCAGCGAGAGCCAGCGTGGTTACTCCCGGGGGTGTGCCGAGAGGGGACTGTGAATGCTGGGTGTGAATGCACACCACGTGTAAGCAGATAGTGGCTAATGTTGATTCTGAGACAGATTTGCGACAAAGTCTCTAACAAAAATAATACCTCATTGTAGATATAATCCATCGAGTTCATTTGCGGGGTTCATTCCAAGTGACCCGGGCGGCCTGGGACCACATGAAGAAGCAGAATTACGGAAGGTAGACTTGCACGTGGCTGTGGGGGGCTGAGGGCACGTGGGGGTTCTCGTGCACAGAACAGGAACATCCAAAATATGTGAAGCGATTCTGTGAGGGAAGGAGATGTTTCCAGTACGTTGGGCTCTAGGCTGTCCTTAGCACGTACCCTCTCATTACGGTGATGTCCTTTAGTTACAGATTGGCAGAGCAGGGCAGCTTTAGATTTCTTTGTCACCTATTCCTTTTCATTTGTTTTATTATTACTATTTTTCAGTTTCTATTATTTTTATTCAACTATGCACTTATTATGGGAAGAGGGGGCTCCAGATTTCTTTTGTATACCTGAAAGATCTTTCATAATAACTGTATGTCAGTATGTCCCTGTTTTATCATCTTTTTTAATTTTTTTTTTTTTTTTTTGCCATAGGGCATGTGTACTCACTGGAGAGAGACAGAGAGACACAGAAAGAGGGAAAGTAAGAAATCACCCCCCTTGGGGGAATGGCCATGCCACAAACCCCTCTCCTCCATTCTCCTTTCGGGATTTTGAATATGCATGCATGCACACACCTGGTGTGTTTTTCAGGCCACCAGGTCTGAGATTCGAACTGCCGAGTCAGCCATATGGGATCCAGCACCTTATCCACCACACCACCTGCTGGCCTAACTACTGCTTTTATTATTGATGATTTTCATGTCCTCTGGCATTTTAGAAAGTTACACAAACGTTGGATTTTCAAGCTGTGCATGGTTTTCTAACCAGAGTGCCATTTTGTGTGTCTAGGACCAACTAGAGAGAAATGAGCGGCGGTTTCCTGCTAGCGAGTGCTGACCAGGCTCGAGCTAGCCTTTACGAGCCGTTGGGGAAGGGTGGGACTTCGGCCTCGTGATTGTTCCTCCCTGCGCTCCGCTCCCCCCTGGTGCCGAGGCAGGGCTGTGCACACCCGCGACAGCAGGTCGTTTGTGACGCCTCTTCTTGTTGGAGGTTTCTAGCCTGTCCTGACCTGTCGCTTCCTGAAAATAAATGACAGGGTTTATTCTCCTTGGCCCAAGTAGAGCAACTGAGGTTGGGTCACAAACTAAATTTGTTTGATTTTGACTAGGGAGTCCTTTTTTCTTTCCTTCCTTCCTTCCTTCCTTCCTTCCTTCCTTCCTTCCTTCCTTCCTTTCTTTCTTTCTTTCTTTCTTTCTTTCCTTCTTTCTTTCTTTCTTTCTTTCTTTTTAAGTTTATTCCTTCCATGAAAGAGAGAGAAAAACTGCACCCCAAACAGGGTCTTCTCACTGCCATTCGTCCCCAATCTCTGTGGCTGGGCCACAGCCGTGTGTGCAGCCTCGTGCTCAGGAAGAGCCTGGGGCCTGAACCCAGGACTTTTCCCGTGTGGGTTCAGTCACATCACCTGGCCTGCAGGAAGTACTTTTTAAAAAATAGTTAAATATTGTAGTTGAATTTTGGTATTATATTTTTAATTTGTCAGAGGGTGTGTGCACTTGCCAGAGTGAGACAGAAAGACCGAGAGAGAAAGGAGAAGGCACTCCCCGGTGGGGAACGGTCACACGGCAGTCTCAGCAGTCCCTTCTCCTCTATTTCTCCATCCTGCTGAGATTTATGGGCACGCATGTGCAAGCTCCTGGAGTCTTACAGGCCACCAGGGCCAGGATTCAAACTGAACAGCCAGCCATGTGGAATCTGGTTCCCTTAACCTGGAGGCCACAGGGCTAGCCCTCAAGACGACTTATGTATCAGTTTACTCGACATTACATGGATCACGAGTACAGGGAGCCAGTGACAGGACCCGAGCTGCTTTTTGTTGGGTGCAGTGGTATGAAAATAGAATTACAATGTTATCAAAACAGAGAAGAGATGATGCTGAGAGACCTGTTTTCCTTCTAGGATCATTATGACTTCGTCAGCCTCAGGAATATACGGCAACTTCGGCCAGGCAAATTACAGTGCTGCAAAGCTAGGTCTTCTAGGTCTTTCCAATACCCTGGCGATCGAAGGCCGCAAAAGTAACATTCACTGTAACACCATCGCCCCCACTGCCGGGTCCCGGATGACTCAGAGTGTTATGCCTGAAGGTAAGCAAGTTTTCAATGCCTTTACCCACAAAAATAAGCGTGGTGAGCTTTGAAAAGTATTTAATTTTTTGAGTACTTAAAATGTTTTTCTTTCTCATTTCAAAAGCGTATTGGGAACCAGCAGTTAGCGTAATGGCTATGTCACTGGACTCCCACGTAGTCGACCGTGGTTTGTGTCCCGGACCCGGTGGCTTAAAACTCACGCCGGGCGCGTGTGCGTGCGTGCCCAAGATCCCGAGAGGAGAATGGAGGAGAAGGGATTGTGGCGTGACCATCCCCCCTGGGGGGTGATTTCTCGCTTTCTGTCTCTATGTCTCTGTCTGTCTGGCGAGCGCACGCGCCCTACAGTAAAAATCTCTCCAAAAAAAAAAAAAAAAAAAAGCGTATGTGTGCCTGTGTTCATTGAGGAAAATTTAGAAAAGCACGAAGAAAAAATAGAAAATGACTCATAACTCTTCCACACTGAAGTAAACATCATCCTTTTTCTGTGCACAGATATACATACATACGTATCGCAGTACAGAGTGGGGTAATAGCATTGTTACTGTTATCATAATAAAAAATCAGACTTCCTTTTTTAGAACAATTTAAGTTTTTAAATTTCTTTTTTCTTTTTTTACTTTACATTTTTTCTCTTGCGTTTTAGTTTGGGAAATTTACATTGAGATGATCTATTCAATTTGTGTTGACATATCAAAATAACCTTCGTTATTTCTGTTACAGTGGTTTTGGTTTCTAGCATTTCCTTTTGATGCTTTCTTAGAGTTTTCTCTCTCTGGCTACAGTGCCCATCTGTCCACTTTTCCATCGGGGTCTTTAGCTTATGACCACAGTTGTTTTAAACTTCCAGCATGATCATTCTCAGTCTCTGCCATATTGAGTCTGGTTTGCGTTAGTTTTGCCTCTTCAGCCCATTTTTCCTTGCCTTTTAGCATGGCTTGCAGTTTTTTTGTTGAAAGCTGAACATGGTGTATCAGATCTTAGGAAGTGAGGCAGAGCTGCCTTTAGCGTGGAGTTTTGTGTCGATCTCATGGGGAACTCGGCTGTTTTTATTATTTGCTGTAGCGGTAGCTATTAGAAGCACCGATCTTGTGTGTGTGTGTCTTCTGTTACCTTTGGGTTTCCCTAGAACCTCCGTGTTAAACAGTTCGGCTCCTGGAGCTCTCAGCTGTTACTCTCGGTGGTCCTGCAGATGCAGCCGTGAGGGGTCGGGAAAGGGACGTGTTCCACCTTCCTACGTTACGTCTTCGTTTTTTAGTGGGTCAGAGTCCTAGTGGGTTGGAACCTTCGGAGTTTTTTCAGTATTCTTTTCTCTCCTTCCCGTTTGAGATGAGAAGGCTAGAGGAATTCTTGTCTAATTGCTCTCCCTTAGGTAGGTCAGACACTGGGAACATTGTCTGTCTTGAGGCCTAGCCTTGCAAGTAGGACAGATGCCCTGGGCAGATTTCAAGATGGCTACTTTTTCCCTCCTCCTCCCAAAGCATGGGGCATTTTTCTTTGATCTTCACTCTGCGAATACGGTGGGGCTTTTGGAGGCAACACTCAAGACATTACCCTGCCCCCCGAGATCCAGCTGCTCTGCCCGCCTCTAGCAGTGAGCTGTGTATCATTTGTGTTTTCTTTCTGCCTTAGGCGCGCAGCATGTGTTCCCATAATCGATTCTCTGGACTTGTCCGTTTTTCTTGTTTTTTAGGTGGTAGTTTGCTATGTGACCTCAGTTCTCTGGTAAAATTAGTTACTTCATTGAAATGAACTGTTGTTTTTTCATATTTTTAGCTTTTTTCTTTTTTTCTTTTTTTTAGAGAGGTTTTCGCTACAGGGCACATGCGCTCGCCAGAGAGACAGAGAGAGACAGAGAAATAGAAAGCAAGAAATTGCCCCCCCCAGGGGGTATGGCCACGCCACAGTCCCTTCTCCATTCTCCTCTTGGAATATTGGGCACACACGCACATGCACCCGGCGTGCGTTTAAGCCACCGGGTCCAGAACTTGAACCACGGTCAACTACATGGGAGTTCAGCGACATAGCCATTACACTAACTGCTGGTCCCCTTTTTTTCTTAGCTTTAGGATGGAAGCAATGACTTCCACGCTCTTTGCATGTTGGAGTTGAAACGGGAAGTGTAATTATTTTTTTCTACTTTACTATGAGCATTTTTCTATTTAATAAAATAGCCTAGGATTTAAAATACTTTTTTTTTTCAGACAGGGTCTTGTCATGTCCTCATCCTCCTACCTCAGGCTTCCAAGCGGCAGGGACAGCAGTGTGTGCTACTGCACCTGTCGTCGCAGGTCAGGTCAGCAAGCAGGCCCGGGCCGCCCATGTGCCCTCACCTGCTAATGGCGGTGTCTGTAAATGTGCTCTTCTCTGTCTGGGCTCAGTCTAGAATTTGTTTTTGTTTCTTAAGTTTTTGCCATAGAGTGCTTGCTCTCGCCAGATAGAGGCAGAGAAAGGGAAAGTGAGAGGTCACCCCCCCCAAGGGCCTCGCCACAATGTCTTCTCGTCTGTTCTCCTGGGATCTTGGGCACACATGCACATATAGTTGCTTTATTTTCAAGCCACCAGGTCTGGAACTAGAACTGCAGTTAGCCATGTGAGAGTCCAGTGCCTTACCCACATCCTGGCCCCTAGGGTTTGATTTTTAATGATTATATTTTAACTTATATTCCATACGTTAATTTAATTTTTCTTATTATTTTATACATTCAATCATGGTACATCACTATAACTTATAAAATGAATTTACTCAACATGAATATTCCATAATTTTAAAAAAGCACTTTTTATGGTTATATTTCCTTTGTTGTATTACGCAGTTAGCGTAATAACTATGTCGCTGGACTCCCACGTAGTTGATCATCATTCGAGTCCCAGACCTGGTGGCTTAAACTCACACTGGGCACGTGTGTGCGTGCCCATGATCCCAAGGAAAGTGGAGGAGAAGGGATTGCGGCATGGCCATCTCCCCTGAGGGGGGTGATTTCTCGCTTTCTGTCTCTGTCTTTCTGGCAAGCACGTGCGCCCTGTAGCAAAAACCTCTCCAAGAAAAGAAAGAAAAATAATAATTGGGGCCCAGCAGGTGGCATGGAGGTCGAGGCACTAAATCCCATTTGGCTGTCTCAGAGGTTCAAGTCCAGACTTCGTGGTTTGAAAGAACACACCATGTACATGTCCCCAAAATCCCGAGAGGATAGCGGTGTTTGAGAAGGGATTGTGGTGGGGCCATCTCCTCTTGGGTACAATTTTACTTTCTCGGTCTCTCTCTCTGTAGTGAGGCATGAGCCCTATTCCAAAAACCTAAACAAAAACAAAAAAACCAAAAAACAAAACCCATAAACCTCCAAACTTTTCTCGTGTAACTTTCCAACATATATAAGAGTAAAGAATTGTATATGCCCATTCCCAGCTTTAACAAATGGTCAACATTTAGCCAATTTTGTTTCATATTTTTGTTACCCTCTCATTTTTTTCCTGCAATATTTCAAAGCAAATACTCGATATTTCATAGTATCTACTGAACACCTGAATAGCAGTCTCTACTAGATATGGTCATAACCACAGTGACATCATCACACCAAACAAACTAATCGCTAAGATCACGTAGTATCAAACTTGTATTAAAATTCTCTAGTTATCTAAAAAGACACCTTTTCAGAGTTGGTTTAATCCAGGAATGATACAAACAAGGTTTACAGCCATTTTGTTATTTTATTTAAGTTTCCTTTAATACTTAATGGTTCAGCCTCCTATTTAAAAAAAAAAAAACAATTTATTTGTTGATGCCGATTCATTTGTTCATTCATAGATTAAGTCCTCATTCTTGATTTGGGTTGCTTTTGCATTTTCGTAGAAAATCAGTCGACCACATTTGTGTGTCTCCTCCAGGTTCTGTGTTCTGTTCCATTGATTAATGTGCCTGTCCCTGATATTTTCATTACTGTAGTTTTATATTAGTTTTAAAATTAGTGTAAGTCTTCCCACTTTCATTGAAATATAAATTTTCAAATGTCGAATGTATGATGGAGAGCCAATATTTACTTAACTAGACGACAGCCTAATGGACTCGTGGAGAACTGTGTATGTTTCTGACACCCCAAGTCTTTACTTATTTCTGAGAAGAAATCTCCTCGCTACTTTAACATTAGCTTCTATGAAATGGTACGGAACAATTGATTGGCATTATTGTAGAATGTGCTGCTTCGTGGAACACAAGTACTTGTGTATGATTCACTTCCCACATGTGCACTACATGTATTTTAGAGCTTGGGATCTGTAGTACCATACCCATACTTGTTAGCTTTTGCAGAGGTGCGTCTAACCAGTTTGCCGTGTGTTAGAGTAGCGATTTGGATCTGAGATCTATTTTTTCCCTCCATTTCCTCATGAAGAGGACAACTTTTAAAAGTCCCTTATTATTTAAAAACTCACGCTCTCATAATCATGTGACAGAGTTCTTGTAAAAGAATCGGGCTACATGAAGGACAAATACAGTCCTGTTTTTCCTTTTAAGTATAGTACTGTATATATGCAGAACAGTGCAGATTACAGCTACGTAAAGCATGAAAATAGCACGAATATTCATGAGCTCATTTTTCAACCTAGGCATTGCAGCGTCACCTCCAGCTTGCCTCTCACGTGGTGTCCTCCATCCTGTCTCCCTGCTTCATGCCCAGGAGAGAGCTGCTGTGTAGAAGTTTTGTCTGTCATTCCTTGCAAGATTTCTACCTTAGTCCCTTTCTTGCTGTGGGCTCTAGACTCTTTGGAAGTCAGTAGTTTTTTTGAGAAAGTAATGAAAACTGTAGGTTTTAAATTTGTCCTTTAGGAATGTGGTTACCATTTTATTTGGACAGGTCTCAGCCTCTAGAGGTGTAAGGTCAATGTCTAATGTCGTATCCTTTACGCTCACCATGCTCTGGTACCAGAGGTTCAGAAAATAAGGTTAATTTTAGATAAATTACTTAATCTCTCTAGACCTATTTTCTCTTTTGTAAATAAAGTAA